TTGATTGATTGATTGGTGAAGACTAAGCTACCCAAGAGGTGGTAAGGGCATGAATAGCCCCGTAAGGTCATTGTCGCTGTCATATTAGTGCTAAACACCCAAGGTGTTCACCCGAGAGACACTATATAGAGTGAAATGCAGAGTGAGGCGTGTTTGAACTCTACACACACACACACACACACACACACACACACACACACACACACACACACACACACACACACAGGTGAGTACACACAGTAGAAGCGTGGGGAGCTCAGGTCACAAGGGTGTAACCTAAGTTGAGTGACTCTGTGGTGTCTCCATGTCTCTAAGTGGGTGGTGTCTCCATGTCTCTAAGTGGGTGGTGTCTCCATGTCTCTAAGTGGGTGGTGTCTCCATGTCTCTAAGTGGGTGGTGTCTCCATGTCTCTAAGTGGGTGGTGTCTCCATGTCTCTAAGTGGGGGGTGTCTCCATGTCTCTAAGTGGGGGGTGTCTCCATGTCTCTAAGTGGGGGGTGTCTCCATGTCTCTAAGTGGGTGGTGTCTCCATGTCTCTAAGTGGGGGGTGTCTCCATGTCTCTTAGTGGGTGGTGTCTCCATGTCTCTTAGTGGGTGGTGTCTCCATGTCTTTTAGTGGGTGGTGTCTCCATGTCTCTAAGTGGGTGGTGTCTCCATGTCTCTAAGTGGGTGGTGTCTCCATGTCTCTAAGTGGGTGGTGTCTCCATGTCTCTTAGTGGGTGGTGTCTCCATGTCTCTAAGTGAGTGGTGTCTCCATGTCTCTAAGTGAGTGGTGTCTCCATGTCTCTTAGTAGGTGGTGTCTCCATGTCTCTTAGTGGGTGGTGTCTCCATGTCTCTTAGTGGGTGGTGTCTCCATGTCTCTAAGTGGGTGGTGTCTCCATGTCTCTTAGTGGGTGGTGTCTCCATGTCTCTTAGTGGGTGGTGTCTCCATGTCTCTTAGTGGGTGGTGTCTCCATGTCTCTTAGTGGGTGGTGTCTCCATGTCTCTTAGTGGGTGGTGTCTCCATGTCTCTAAGTGGGTGGTGTCTCCATGTCTCTAAGTGGGTGGTGTCTCCATGTCTCTAAGTGGGGGGTGTCTCCATGTCTCTAAGTGGGGGGTGTCTCCATGTCTCTAAGTGGGTGGTGTCTCCATGTCTCTTAGTGGGTGGTGTCTCCATGTCTCTAAGTGAGTGGTGTCTCCATGTCTCTTAGTGGGTGGTGTCTCCATGTCTCTTAGTGGGTGGTGTCTCCATGTCTCTTAGTGGGTGGTGTCTCCATGTCTCTTAGTGGGTGGTGTCTCCATGTCTCTAAGTGGGTGGTGTCTCCATGTCTCTAAGTGGGTGGTGTCTCCATGTCTCTAAGTGGGTGGTGTCTCCATGTCTCTTAGTGGGTGGTGTCTCCATGTCTCTAAGTGAGTGGTGTCTCCATGTCTCTTAGTGGGTGGTGTCTCCATGTCTCTTAGTGGGTGGTGTCTCCATGTCTCTTAGTGGGTGGTGTCTCCATGTCTCTAAGTGGGTGGTGTCTCCATGTCTCTAAGTGGGTGGTGTCTCCATGTCTCTAAGTGGGTGGTGTCTCCATGTCTCTTAGTGGGTGGTGTCTCCATGTCTCTAAGTGAGTGGTGTCTCCATGTCTCTTAGTGGGTGGTGTCTCCATGTCTCTTAGTGGGTGGTGTCTCCATGTCTCTTAGTGGGTGGTGTCTCCATGTCTCTAAGTGGGTGGTGTCTCCATGTCTCTAAGTGGGTGGTGTCTCCATGTCTCTAAGTGGGTGGTGTCTCCATGTCTCTTAGTGGGTGGTGTCTCCATGTCTCTAAGTGAGTGGTGTCTCCATGTCTCTTAGTGGGTGGTGTCTCCATGTCTCTTAGTGGGTGGTGTCTCCATGTCTCTTAGTGGGTGGTGTCTCCATGTCTCTAAGTGGGTGGTGTCTCCATGTCTCTAAGTGGGTGGTGTCTCCATGTCTCTAAGTGGGTGGTGTCTCCATGTCTCTAAGTGGGGGGTGTCTCCATGTCTTTAAGTGGGGGGTGTCTCCATGTCTCTAAGTGGGGGGTGTCTCCATGTCTCTTAGTGGGTGGTGTCTCCATGTCTCTTAGTGGGTGGTGTCTCCATGTCTCTTAGTGGGTGGTGTCTCCATGTCTCTTAGTGGGTGGTGTCTCCATGTCTCTTAGTGGGTGGTGTCTCCATGTCTCTAAGTGGGTGGTGTCTCCATGTCTCTAAGTGGGTGGTGTCTCCATGTCTCTAAGTGGGGGGTGTCTCCATGTCTCTAAGTGGGGGGTGTCTCCATGTCTCTAAGTGGGGGGTGTCTCCATGTCTCTAAGTGGGTGGTGTCTCCATGTCTCTAAGTGGGTGGTGTCTCCATGTCTCTAAGTGGGGGGTGTCTCCATGTCTCTAAGTGGGTGGTGTCTCCATGTCTCTAAGTGGGTGGTGTCTCCATGTCTCTAAGTGGGTGGTGTCTCCATGTCTCTAAGTGGGGGTGTCTCCATGTCTCTAAGTGGGTGGTGTCTCCATGTCTCTAAGTGGGTGGTGTCTCCATGTTTCTAAGTGGGTGGTGTCTCCATGTCTCTAAGTGGGTGGTGTCTCCATGTCTCTAAGTGGGTGGTGTCTCCATGTCTCTAAGTGGGGGGTGTCTCCATGTCTCTAAGTGGGTGGTGTCTCCATGTCTCTAAGTGGGTGGTGTCTCCATGTCTCTAAGTGGGTGGTGTCTCCATGTCTCTAAGTGGGTGGTGTCTCCATGTCTCTAAGTGGGTGGTGTCTCCATGTCTCTAAGTGGGTGGTGTCTCCATGTCTCTAAGTGGGTGGTGTCTCCATGTCTCTAAGTGGGTGGTGTCTCCCATGTCTCTAAGTGGATGGTGTCTCCATGTCTCTAAGTGGGTGGTGTCCCCATGTCTCTAAGTGGGTGGTGTCCCCCCATGTCTCTAAGCAGGCAGTGTCCTCATGTCTGTATGTAGGGGGAGGTGGCTGTGTATTGCCTAGTCGATGAGTGAATTGTATTGTATTATGTATGTTTACCACTTGGTTATTTTAATTAGTTCTAAAGAATTAGAGCTGTTAGAGTCGAAGAGCATGCCAGAGCCTCAGCTGCATCTGTCAGCGACCACAATGTGTTAGTCGTCTCCTTACTTTGACATGGTTAAGTAATGACTGAAGAACGACGCCATTTGCGACGCTTTCTTAATCAAATTTGACTCCTTGTATATGTACTTCCGCTTCCTTTAAGACACAAATCCCGGTATTAACCCATGCGTCAACCCCCACCCACGGCAACCCACCCCCTTCCACCCCACAGCAAACCCCCCACCGCCTCCAAATACTGCTCCATGGCAGGCATTTCCAGGCAACATTCCCTAGAACAAAACACTGCCCCGTACTGGTCTCTTGTAACACTGTACCCTCCCCAGGAAGGGGACGTCCCCTCACACTCTTGCCCCCCAGCTGTAGCCCCCTCTGCCCTTGGGTAGGTACACCCTCCTCCCCCAACGCCACACCCCCGCCGTGCCCAGGGTGTAGCCTCGTACAAGGAGCCAACCTCTCTCACCTCCACAACGCCAGATTGTGGAGGTGACAATCCACCTAGTGGGTTTTCCAGATTGTTCAACGAGAGCAGACAACTGGTTTGTGTGACTGGCCTGTGCATCAATGCACCAACTTGAGCAGCTGTGCACGGTTCTGCCCTCGCTCACGTCACACGCTGGGCACGGAGAGCGCTGGGCACGGAGCACGGGCCCAGCGTGCTCCCAGCGTGCCAGGGGGTCCCTTTAGTGATCCTAGACTTGCTTCCCCCGCACCGGTTGCCTCCAGCCGGCAATGACAGACGCCCCAATATCCTCTCTGGTAATCATCTCACCGTTGGCAGTTTCTCACAGAGAAGGAAGGTATAGACGAAAGAAGGAACTGGGACAGCGGGTGAATGCGTCACGTTGACCCATGTAGGGGGTGGCGGGTGATCACGTTGACCCATGTAGGGGGTGGGGGGGGGGTGATCATGTTGCCCCATGTAGGGGGTGGGGGGGTGATCATGTTGCCCCATGTAGGGGGTGGGGGAAGCATGATAACTCGATCCAGTTGTCATGCTAGAAAGATTATCTCATAGATCTATCCCGTCGTCACTGGGACTTTTCTGTGTAAAAAATACATCATAACGGTAATACATAAGAATAGAGTGAACCACAGTAAGCCTATTGGCCCATACGAGGCAGAGCCTATTCATACGCCCTCTCAAACTCTTAAATTCATGTCTGTCCTTCGCTTGAAACAACCCAGCGATTCCACATCTATTATGCAACGCGGTAAAATCCGTTCTAAAAATCATCAGGCCAATTTTTATACAAGTATAATTCGCCTGGATCTTTTTTTCTGAATGTTCATTTGTTCAATGGGCATTGTTTCATGTTTTTTTTGTCGATGTAGTTCATACAGCGTCACAACGTCACAAACGCAGTGCTTCTGACGAATTTATGGGGGAGGGAGGGAATTGTCAGGGGGAAAGCGCCAAGTCATTACGACTATATAGCACTGGGAAGGGGTCAGGATAAGGATTTCGGATGGGACGGGGGATAGGAATGTTGTCAAACCACTTGGACGGTCGGGGATTGAACGCCGACCTGCATATAGCGAGACCGTCGCTCTACCGTCTAGCCTAAGTGGTTGGACACTTATGGGGGAAGGTTACACTGGAGTTCCTGGGCAAATTCCAGTGGGGTTTATATCATATTCCCCCACTGGAATATGTGTTATATCACATATCATATCGCAGTAATTACACTATTATTGATTGGCAATTATATACCCCCCCTCCCGTGTCTATCATCCATTCATAACATGTCTTCTATTCGTGCAACCCTCCCTTGCTAATTATCCATTCTCTTCCTGCCCATTGCCCTTTCACAGCCTGCCCTATTTTCCATTAATAACATGCATATTTACCATTTTCTCACGGCCTATTACCCATGTATTCACCCCCCCCCCTTGCCTAGTGTCCATTTTTCGCCAGAGACATGAAAATTTGCTTTACTTATGTAAGAAATGACAATGTTGCAAGGTCAGTACACTGCAATGTACAACGCCGCAAGGACATTGTAAATGTACAATGCAGGGAGATACAAAATAGTTTCTTATAGCTGCCTCCTCTCACACCTCAACACAGCACCTCACCAGGTCTGAATAAAATAGATTACCACCCCGTAACAGGCCTTTCTCTCTCTCTCTCTCTCCTTCCGACCCTCCGACAGGAGAGGGTGCAGAAGGAGCTGCAGGAGTGCCAGCCTGCAGGTGGCGCTGAGGTCACCATGGAGGACGCCCATCTCCTGCCTTACACTCAAGCCTCCATACTGGAGACTCAGAGACTCAGGAGCATCCTGCCCCTTGGAATACCTCACGGGACGACGCAGGTGAGGCTTTCAGGTGTAGCTGACATGCAGGTGAGGACTTTTGAGATGATTAACTGATGAGGCTCCCCCAGGTGACCTATATGAACGTATAGTCATAAGCTATGTGACCTATATGACCTATAATCCCAGACTATGACGTTGATTATGACCAAATAGTTCATCACAATAAACTAAAAATTAAACGAACCTTAAATCAGTGACCCATTTGATGTTTAGGTTGTTTTTGACTCCCCATAGAAGGTCCTTATGCACAACAGTGAGACAGGGGTAGCACTTTCCGTAGAGTTTTTTTCAGTTCAACGCATCGTGAGCAGGAACTACGGCATGATCTCCCGCACTACATCACTGAATGCCCAGTTATTAGACCTTTCAGACCAGTTGGCATGAGGTACCTGGAGCTTTGCAATTACTTTATTCACTCTCGTATTCTTGAAGATATCCTCACAGTATACCCAAAATTTGCCAGTGCAGGCTATTAAACACATGGCTCTGTATGACTAACCATCCTGCGAGATGGGGACTTGTATTACCACTGCTACCTTATTCAATCTTGTGTTGTTGATATCCTCAAAATGCATCCGGAGTCTGCCAGTGCAGACCGCTTATCACATGTCTCTGTATGACTAACCATCCTGTGTGATGGGGATTTTTTAGCATCACTTAGTTAGCTTTTTTGACACACTGTACTCCACTTCATATAGTCTAGGGTAGCTGCACTAATGCAGATGTACCTCATGTATTAATAAAAAAAAAAAAAAAAAAAAAAAGAAGAAATGAAGAATATATATATATATATATATATATATATATATATATATGTCGTACCTAGTAGCCAGAACGCACTTCTCAGCCTACTATGTAAGGCCCAATTTGCCTAATAAGCCAAGTTTTCATGAATTAATGTTTTTTCGACTACCTAACCTACCTAACCTAACCTAACCTAACATTTTCGGCTACCTAACCTAGCCTAACATATAGAGATAAGTTAGGTTAGGTTAGGTAGGGTTGGTTAGGTTCGGTCATATATCTACGTTAATTTTAACTCCAATAAAAAAAAATTAACCTCATACATAATGAAATGAGTAGCTTTATCATTTCATAAGAAAAAAATTAGAGAAAATATATTATTTCAGTAAAACTTGGCTTATTAGGCAAATCGGGCCTTGCATAGTAGGCTGAGAATTGCGTTCTGGCTACTAGGTACGACATATATATATATATATATATATATATATATATATATATATATATATATATATATATATATATATATATATATATATATATATATTAGTATATTTTGGTAGCAGTCTTTTCTGTAGACATATATTATTAAATATGACCGAAAAAGTAAGATTAATAATTCTTACACGAATTTTCTCAATGTTTCTTATATTTTTTCACTGTTGATGGTAATTGAAAAATCAATTCTCCAAAATTAATTTTTATTTCTAGACTAGAAATAAAAATGAATTTTGGAGAATTGATTTTTCAGTTACCATCAACAGTGAAAAAAATATAAGAAACATTGAGAAAATTCGTGTTAGAATTATATATAATATATATATATATATATATATATATATATATATATATATATATATATATATACGCTTTCTGAGGCCTAATAGAGTACATATATGTGCTCTATTAGGCCTTTGTTTTTTAGGGTTACCTCTCCCGGACTCCATAAAGTGAATAGTACCAAATGCTACTATCCAACTGTCCATTACGTCAATATATGTACGGTGGTCCCGCGTAGTTTGAAAATGAGTTGTTTGTGTGACCGCATATATATATAATGCTAACGAGCATATTTACATTTTGTTCTGTCCTCCGTGGACAGGGTTAGAGACGGGTTCAACACATAGTTTAGCTTGGATACTCTCCGGAAGGATGCCGGAGTCACGTGACTCTGCTTGGCTGGAAATCAGGAACTTGACGGCTTCGCGATGATTGCCCGTTGTATTTCTACGGAGCTTTTGTTAATTCCCGTGGAACCTCATTTATGGGCTCGTGGAACACCTAATTGTTCCGTGGCGCCCTAGTTGGGAAGCTTCAACTTTGCAACACCCCGATCCTCCCCCCTCTCTCTCCACACAACACCTCCGCGACAAGCAGAGCGACACAGTGACTGGTCCAATCACTACTAGGTGTAGAGAATGCAGGTTGTATACGTAGGTGTATGTGTGTAACTGTATAACTGAACCATCTCTTCCATTCTACTTGTCGGAAAATCCGACACCATTTAATAATAATATCATACAGACAGATAAGAGCTGTGTTGTATAAACAAGTTACCCATAGAAAACGTAACTTGTAGTGGAATTACCATCTAAAGAAAACGGGATATCATCACCACATACTATTATAATTCACCAGCTATTCTGCTGGGAATTGTTCTTAAATACATTAGTCTTTGGACTTTACCATCATAAAAACATCTTATATAAATTAACTTAATTATCAATATTAAAGTAGAGTAAATGTGACCCTTCTATCACTTTCTGAAATCTGGACAAAGTAGGCCAGGCGTCAGAGTGGGGAGGAGGGCAGCCATTGTTGTTTATTGAGACCAGAGGCTCACACGGGAGCAAATTCGGCTCCTGTTAAATTTACTTGGACGTAGTGTTATGGAACCCAAAGGTGTACCATTGTCAACACGCTGTCTACAAATACAAGTTAAGTGTCTATCCGAAACCCGTTTATCATTCATTTATGGCCATTAATGTCAGGATATAGGGTTAGCCGGTTAGAACGCGAAATCGCCTCATACTAAAGGTAATTAAGCCAGGTCTTCATGTTCCATGTACTGTATAGTGTTTTCTCTGATATACTTGTCATATATAGGTTTCTGGCTTCACAGCTAGCGCACTTTTGACAGGTCAAGACGAGGATGCAAGATTTTGTGCACCAGTTACTGGGTGATATGGAAGCTACCTCAAAGAGGATAATTTGGTGTCTACACCCTAGTTATACCTGGTGGACTAACCTGCTGTACTATAAGATAAGGAACCTCATCAATGTATGTAGCTATTACTGTAATTTGATTGGCTGCATATGTGTAATATAAACCCCCCCTAATGTGTAGAGGATCGATTTGTGAGATTAAGAGATTATTGCAGAAATACAGTCCACTCATTATTATACAAATTGCTATCGAAGTATATAAATTAACGTAAATATAAATTCATATAAATTAAATAAATATAAATCTCACAGGTCGGTTCCCACATTATTTGGTCATCTTCGAACCGGATGACGGATTATTTGATCCTTTGAACCCACATTTGGTCATCTTAGTACCGGATGAACCAGTTAACCAAACCAGTGGATTCATTAAATATACTAGTGCAGTGTTATTTAAACAAAGCCAGTCAAGACGGAAGCGTAGCCTCGAGGGAGCTCAGGAGCCTCCCTCAACTGAGTTCAGCTTCGTCAGCGGTTTCATGCACACCCACAGATATTTGGTGGCGTGTTATTTCGTGAAATGACAGCGCTAATATAGAAACCAGCCAAATTAGTGACTGTGTCTTCGCGAGATTGTTCACGGATTTCGTGGTGTTACATTTCGCGAGAGATTATCTACGAATTTTGTGGAGTTTATTTCGCGAGGTCACTAATAATATTTAATACTTCTAGATAATATTAGAAGTTTCATAGAGGCTAATTAAGAGGCTATTATCAATAATTGTGTATATTATTTCTCCAAAATAGAGAATTATTTAATATATTGCACTAGTGATCACAGTATAATATTTACTAATTGCCAACCCACAACAGGGTAGGATATGACTAGTTGAACTATTATTGTTCATCCTAGTCCCATTATTACAATAGTCAGTTGTACTATATTGAACAACCTAACACCATTAATGAATGGTCCAGACCCTATTTTGGGTGTAATTTTTATCAACTCGAGTTGAGTTGTATATATAATAAATTACTTATGATCATTACACCTTTGAGTGATTAATTAGTGTCTCTACCATCCTAGGGTGATATAGAAGAGCTGTTGCATTTACCCCCACCGGAGGCTTCAGCTGATTCACTCCAAGTCTTCAAGCTGGAGGTAGAATCATTGATCAATGCCCTCAGCCTGACAGCAGATACAAACGGGGCTGAGTGGGTCTTGAAAATAATTGTCCAGGAGAAAATACCTAGGGACATATTGAGACAAATGAGTGCTCATTACAATAAAAGCATCTTATCCATGAATGAAATATCTGAAGGTTTAAAGTCAGTAGTTCATCAATTACGAACACATGACAAATTAAAACCACCAAGTAAACCCTCAGAAACCAATAATAGTAAACCACAGAGTACCAAAGGTACTCCAAATCAATCCAGACAATATAATTCAACACCAAAGTGGAACAGTAACAGTGTGGGCGTATATGCAGTGGGACCCTCCAAGCCTATAGTTACTGTGTCACCCAAGAACGTGACACCAAAGGGTACTGGAAGCTATGGAACATGTTTGTTCTGCAATGAGAAACATTCAATGTACCACTGCTCTAATTATCCTGATAGTGACGCCCGTGTTGAGCGACTCAAAGATTTGCAACATTGCACGAGGTGCCTCAGGAAACATAACATCATCGACTGTGATACCCAATTACACACCTGTAATAGGTGTAACAAAGGTCAACACCATGCAGCATTGTGCAGAGACACCAAAACAACGTCTCCAAACCCCAAGGTGGAAGATAGCATTCCCACCACAGTACAGTACTGCAAGGTGCAACAAACAAACAGTGTCCAATCGGCAAAGTCTAAAGGTAATACGACTTTGCCTACTGCCCAATTACCATCCTGAATAAGAGGGCCAAGGTCCATACCCGTGGGTTGTTTGACCAAGGATCCCAGAGAACATATATCACTAAAAAGCTGGCAGATGAACTACAATTAAGGCCTGTAGCCCAGATGTCATTCAACATCTCAGGGTTTGTAACAGATGCAGGACCTCAAGTCTACCAGGTGGTACAACCATCAGTACGTTTAGGCAGGTACATCTGTCGAGTACAAGCCATTGTGGTGGACAAAATACCAGTAGACCTACAAGTACAAGGTCTGAGAGCAACAGCCAAATTCCTGAGAAATAGAGGAATAAAATTGGCAGATAATATTAAGTCTGATCACCTCACCGACTTCGGTCTCCTTGTAGGGACAGACTATTGTCATCGATTCATTGGTAGCCCTACTAAATATCAGGGTATAACCATGTTAAACTCTGCAGGAGGTAAATTACTCTCAGGCCCAGTATCAAGCCTGAGGAGACCTATGCCTGCAGATAAACAATACCAGTAGAAACCTAAATTTGTCAGCTGATTATATTTCTCCAGTAGCATTATACTAAGGAGATTACAGCTGACTATAGTAACAGAGGTTGATGTTAGTATCATCATTTGAAGCTGAAGATGAGTTCATGAGGCCTCAGTGGCAAATCAGTGAACAGTAGCCTAAAACAGCTACAAGTCACTGCGACCAATGTCACTGAACCCACTGCAGTCTCAGAACCATACTTTACTTTAATGATGAGCTATTCAATCTTCTGAATCAATTAACTAAATTAAACCCCAATAAATTTGATGACTGATTTGATACATTTATTATTTAATCAAGATGTATTCCATGGGCCTCAGTGTTTATATATCAGTGACCAGTTACCTGAACAAACTTCAAGTTATATCTAATGTCACTGATCTCACTGCAGTCCCTGAATCATACTTGACTGTAGTACTTGATCACATCCAGTCTTCTGGGTTAAATAATATGTAATAAGGCTTGAATATTAGCCTTTCAAGAGTTGACAGGGAAATGAAATCGCATTAGACTTCTAACCCCTACAACTCTAGTACGGGACATCCGTCCTGTACGAACAGACACACAAATGTGTGATTACTAACTATAATTTGAAGGAGGAGTATCGGTGTTCGTCTGTTCTAATTAGGACTTCGACCCGTGAGCAGCCCCCTGGGGAATTATGTCGGAAAATCCGACACCATTTAATAATAATATCATACAGACAGATAAGAGCTGTGTTGTATAAACAAGTTACCCATAGAAAACGTAACTTGTAGTGGAATTACCATCTAAAGAAAACGGGATATCATCACCACATACTATTATAATTCACCAGCTATTCTGCTGGGAATTGTTCTTAAATACATTAGTCTTTGGACTTTACCATCATAAAAACATCTTATATAAATTAACTTAATTATCAATATTAAAGTAGAGTAAATGTGACCCTTCTATCACTTTCTGAAATCTGGACAAAGTAGGCCAGGCGTCAGAGTGGGGAGGAGGGCAGCCATTGTTGTTTATTGAGACCAGAGGCTCACACGGGAGCAAATTCGGCTCCTGTTAAATTTACTTGGACGTAGTGTTATGGAACCCAAAGGTGTACCATTGTCAACACGCTGTCTACAAATACAAGTTAAGTGTCTATCCGAAACCCGTTTATCATTCATTTATGGCCATTAATGTCAGGATATAGGGTTAGCCGGTTAGAACGCGAAATCGCCTCATACTAAAGGTAATTAAGCCAGGTCTTCATGTTCCATGTACTGTATAGTGTTTTCTCTGATATACTTGTCATATATAGGTTTCTGGCTTCACAGCTAGCGCACTTTTGACAGGTCAAGACGAGGATGCAAGATTTTGTGCACCAGTTACTGGGTGATATGGAAGCTACCTCAAAGAGGATAATTTGGTGTCTACACCCTAGTTATACCTGGTGGACTAACCTGCTGTACTATAAGATAAGGAACCTCATCAATGTATGTAGCTATTACTGTAATTTGATTGGCTGCATATGTGTAATATAAACCCCCCCTAATGTGTAGAGGATCGATTTGTGAGATTAAGAGATTATTGCAGAAATACAGTCCACTCATTATTATACAAATTGCTATCGAAGTATATAAATTAACGTAAATATAAATTCATATAAATTAAATAAATATAAATCTCACAGGTCGGTTCCCACACTACTGCACCCCCCCCCCCTCCCGGTCAGGAGCTGACGATCGACGGCTACCGGATCCCTAAGGGCACCATGCTACTGCCGCTGCTGTGGCAGGTCCACCACGACCCCGACACCTGGAGTAACCCCGACCAGTACCGACCAGAGAGGTTCCTCGACCAGGAGGGCCAAGTCATTCGACACCCGGCGTTCATGCCCTTCCAGACAGGTGTGTGGGTGAGGGGAAGTGTGTATGGGTTGTTCAATATTAAGCAAAACACATACACCTGAGTGGACAGTGGTTGGGGGGCTTGGGGAACACACACACACACACACACACACACACACACACACACACACACACACACACTAACGATGCCTCCTCTCACACACAGGACGCAGGATGTGCATCGGAGACGAGTTCGCCAAGATGATCCTCTTCGTCTTCACCACCAAGATCCTCCTGCGTTTCAAGGTGGACCTTGAGCCAGGTGTCAAGGACGACCCATCCAAGGACCCGGTGTGTGGCATCTCCCTCTGCCCGCGACCCTTCAAGCTGGTCTTCACCCCAAGAGTCTCACAGGCTGATGAGAACTGAATCCAGCTCCTTCACTTGTATTTGAAGTTGTATTCACAGTTGTATTTGCAGTTTTATTTGCAGATTATTTGCTGAAATAATAATTTTAATTATACTAGTTATAATGTTAATAGTTATAATGATAATTCAAATCAACAAACTATTATAAAAGTAAAATAATACAATTTGTATTTGCTTACCAGAATTAGTTATTAACTTTAATACTTGCAAAGTATTTTTATGTCCAGTTGTGTGCAGTAGTGCTGGTATAAACATTCACTCGATTACGATAGTGTTGTTAACCAAGCAGCAAGATGTTTCAATATTTGTATAGAATTCAATGCTATGTTGACCAGACCACACACACTAGAAGGTGAAGGGACGACGACGTTTCGGTCCATCCTGGACCATTCTCAAGTCGATTGTTGGTCTGGTGAACATTCTTCAGCCACGTTATTGTGACTCATCGCCTGCAATTCAATGCTATGATGGCTTCCAAAGTGTGTACCAAAATCTTATAGTTGACTGCAGGCGATACGAACCAGATGTGCCGATGGGGTGGGAACACCTGTAGGGGGGAGAGGGGGGGGAGAGGTTGTTGAAGGGGTCGCATGCGGTTTGTTCTTGCGGGAGGAAGCAGGTGTGGAAAAGACAGAATCTTGCATTGGCCTACAGGCCGTCTGCGGCTGTGTTCCGTATAGTTCTTACATGTTCTCACGCTCACTGGAGGGGACTCTTTCGTCACTCTCCGCCTCCTATATTTTAATCCATATATGTGGCCTTAGCCTTAGACGCAATATTAAAAAAAGATATATATAGATAAAAACTTCGTGTGAATCCCGTCTTCTGCAGTCAACACTAAGGTGCTGACGTCGGCTCTAATGTGATGTATTAGTTTTGAGAATTTCTTGAACGGGATTTCTGTACTCCCCCTCCCTCCCCCCCCTCGTGAAATGGAAAAATAAAACAAAAAATATTATTATTATTATTATTATTATTATTATTATTATTATTATTATTATTATTATTATTGTTGTTAATCCTTTATTTTGGGTTTATATGCACTTATTACATTTAGTTACGTAACCTCGCTAGCTTTTTAGTGCTTTCATCAAGCCTAAAGGACTAATGGATATATATATATATATATATATATATATATATATATATATATATATATATATATATATATATATATATATATAAATATATACTGTATAATGTGTGTGCGTAATAAAAAATTCAGAACAAAAGAAGTATTTCTTTACCTATTATAGAAAGCAGTTCAGGAAGACCAAGTGCTTCCAGTCCAATTTTTTTTTATTTCCATTTTTTATACTTTTATATAAAAAAAGTTTCCTCGTTTTTTGAAAAGCCAGAGGCCAGGGGGTTCTCATCCTTGAGGAGATATGTCGCAAGGAATGTTAGTTTTCCTAATTAGGAGGAAAAGAGTGCTAAGGCAGTAGGACTATATATATATATATATATATATATATATATATATATATATATATATATATATATATATATATATATATATATATATATATATAGCGGTTGAACGGGACATATAAGGGCACGGGGAGCTGGGATATGAAGATGGTGTTCTGGACTTGCGCCGTCGGGAATCGAACGCGACCTAGCAGCATTAAGAAGCCTTATTAGCGGGGCCTTCGCCCTACTGACCAGTCCATGTGCACTGTAATTTCCGCACATTAAATGTCTTCACAGGAAACATAGCGTACCTTCCAGGACGAATACTATGTCTTCCAGGACGAATACTATGTCTTCCAGGACGAATACTATGTCTTCCAGGACGAATACTATGTCTTCCAGGACAAATACCGTACCTTCCAGGACAATAACCTCAGCCACGAGCCTCTGCGTAGTCCTCTGGAAGGTCCAGTTCGCTCCAGTACACACCAGGGGGAGGGAGGGAGGGAGGGGTAGCCCCTCAAGAGACCAGACAGGTGCATTGGTCTCCCTCCCACCCTCCCTTCCGCCCTCTTCCACCTTTTCCTCCGCCTTCAGAGGGAAGGAGTGTGCGTGAGTACACAGGTGGGGGCTACACTCGGCTACACTCACCGGTGGAACCTCATCACAGAGTGTATGGGCAAGTATTTGCTACTTGACTATACAACTTCGCCTATCAAGAATGGAATACCTGGATCTTATACACAGTGTGAAATTATGCGTGTGTGTGTGTGTCAGATGCAGGACTATTATAGGTTTTGACCAACTTATATGGATACTGACCCATGGTAGGCTGTGCTATATGGATACTGACCCATGGTAGGCTGTGCTATATGGATACTGACCCATGGTAGGCTGTGCTATATGGATACTGACCCATGGTAGGTTGTGCTATATGGATACTGACCCATGGTAGGCTGTGCTATATGGATACTGACTCATGGTAGGCTGTGCTATATGGATACTGACTCATGGTAGGTTGTGCTATATGGATACTGACTCATGGTAGGTTGTGCTATATGGATACTGACCCATGGTAGGCTGTGCTATATGGATACTGACTCATGGTAGGTTGTGCTATATGGATACTGACCCATGGTAAGCTGTACTATATGGATACTGTCCTACCATGGTAGGCTGTACTATATGGATGCTCACCCATGGTAGGCTGTACTATATGGATACTGTCCTACCATGGTAGGCTGTACTATATGGATGCTCACCCATGGTAGGCTGTGATATATAGATACTGACTCATGGTAGTGTCTACTATATGGATACGAAACAACCATTATATAGCACTGGTTATACAACATAACACAGCATCACTCTCATGTCAATTTGCGAGCCCTTATGATTTTTAAGTACATCTTTTTTTTGACGTTGGGGACTTTTAGGTCAAAATATGATGTGTCATGCGGGAGGACAGGTATGGTTAGGTTTGATGGTATGGTTAGGTTAGGTTAGGTTAGGTTAGGTTAGGTTAGGTTAGGTTAGGTATGATGACTATTAGCCTGGTAAGATTAGGTGACTTGCCTTGTTATGAACGCTTCTGGATAGACAAAAACCACTGCAAATTTGACGCAGCTTATCACATCGTGAGAACGGATTGGGCACTGGGGGGGGGGGGGTTACTTGTATAAAACGGTGGGTTTGTCTTTTTCGCATAGGTGGGTACAGGAACAGACAACTTCTGACTCCTGTTAGCAGGCTGAGAGCTTTACCTTCCCATAGCTCAAAGTCAGCCATAGCTTTCACTGGAACACGATGCGCCAATCGGTTACCAATCCGGTACCCAATCACTGCTGAGGTGAACAAGGGCGAGCAGTTAAGGACTGGCGGTCAGACCATCCTTCCCTGACAGGGACTCGAACCCCAGACCACTGGCTGGCGGGGCGAGTGTGTTACAACAACGCGACACTAATCACCAGACAGCTTTCTCAAGGGGCTCTCTCTTCTTAATTGTTCCTTTATTCGTAAATTTCTAAAACAAAAAAATCTTTCTCCTGTGCTTCATTTTCTTCTTCATTCTTGTACATATCTTATTACCCCTTCCTTCACCTTGCACAGGTAAACTGTGCATTAGAATCTCTGATGCTAATGACCGAAGCATCCGTCTGCCGCCATGATTGACACTTCATGATTGAAATTATCCTGGTGTTACCAGGATAATTATACCGGGAGAGCGATGTTTACATCAGCCGCCAGCGACCGGGACACGTGGGAATGTCCCGTACAGCAGAGAACCCCGGTGCTTGTTCCCCCCTTGTGTGTGTGGGGGGGGGGGCAGCCCTGCCGGTCTTGGCCTCCTGATGTAGTCTTTCCTATCGTATATACCTCTGTTAGTCCAGGATTATATATGTGGATTCTCTCTCTCTCTCTCTCCGTCCCCTTCCCTCTCTCCCTCTCCCTGCAAGCACAACTGGATGAGTACTAGGTGAGTACACACACACACACTCAAGTATTCGTCTGTTACTCAGGTGACGTGCGCAAGTGTTGTCAAGAGATTATCGAGTGTTGTACACAACCACTCGCCTACACTCATGTTTGTCACGCATACACTCACAACTACACACACACACACCATTCTGAAGAATGTGGGCTTAAATGTACTGATAACAAGCTTATCTATTATAGTGTTTAAACGAATTCTTGTGTGTGTGTGTGTGTGTGTGTGTGTGTGTGTGTGTGTGTGTGTGTTCAGTGTAGTTGTGGTTCTGTGTGTGTGTGTGTGTGTGTGTGTGTGTGTGTGTGTGTGTGTGTGTGTGTGTGTGTGTGTGTGTGTGTGTGTGTGTGTGTGTGTGTGTGAGTGTAGTTGTGGTTGTGTGTGTGTGTGTGAGTGTAGTTGTGGTTGTGTGTGTGTGTGTGTGTGTGTGTGTGTGAGTGTGTGTGTGTGTGTTCAGTGTAGTTGTGGTTGTGTGTGTGTGTGTGTGGGGGGGGGGGGTTGGGTGTGTGACTTTATTTGTATGTTTGTTTGTGTGTATCAGAGATGAGACAAGAGAAGAAGAATTAAAAGATGGAGCAATAGAGGATAAAATGATATATTTTAAGAATGGAAGGCGAGGCTGGCACTGACCCTGGCACTGACCTTGGTGTACTGGTAAGGTCACTAGCGGAGGCACCAGTGTCATTCACACTTTACAACACCTTTGTCAGGGGAGGCTCTCTCTCTCTCTCTCTCTTTCTCTCTTTCTCTCTTTCTCTCTCTCTAACCAGAAACACATAAACCCAAGCCACCCACCTCACCTAACCTATTGATACATAGAAAACATGGATATTTGTTACCAGTTTCTCGTCAAAGTACTCTGTAATTGGTACGTTGGGGGGCATAACATACACAATCAGAGACGTACCGGTGGAGAGGAGGAGGATGGGCCGGGTCACTGCCTTATGTATGTGGGGGTCGACCTTTACTGTGACCTTAGGGAGATCTTCACCCCCTCGGCGGAAGGTCGGACAAGCGGGTTGGTACCATCGTTGTTAGCGCCGGCGCTGGAGGCGACGACGTCATCCCAGCCTCCATCTTTGCGTCACTGAACTATCAACGGGACAATGGTGGCTGGGTCCGTGTGAACCCGTGGGTTGCTGGTCCCTCTCTGTCTGTGGGTTGCTGGTCCCTCTCTGTCTTGTGGGTTGCTGGTCCTTCTCTGTCTTGTGGGTTGCTGGTCCCTCTCTGTCTGTGGGTTGTTGGTCCCTCTCTGTCTTGTGGGTTGTTGGTCCCTCTCTGTCTGTGGGTTGCTGGTCCCTCTCTGTCTGTGGGTTGTTGGTCCCTCTCTGTCCGTGGGTTGCTGGTCCCTCTCTGTCTTGTGGGTTGCTGGTCCCTCTCTGTCTGCGGGTTGTTGGTCCTTCTCTGTCCGTGGGTTGCTGGTCCCTCTCTGTCCGTGGGTTGCTGGTCCCTCTCTGTCCGTGGGCTGCTGGTCCCTCTCTGTCCGTGGGTTGCTGGTCCCTCTCTGTCTGTGGGTTGCTGGTCCCTCTCTGTCTGCGGGTTGTTGGTCTCTCTCTGTCTGTGGGTTGCTGGTTCCTCTCTGTCCGTGGGTTGCTGGTCCCTCTCTGTCCGTGGGTTGCTGGTCCCTCTCTGTCCGTGGGCTGCTGGTCCCTCTCTGTCCGT